TATATATATATATATATAATTGCCAACAATTATTGAGCTTCATCTTCTGGACAAGAATGCCAAGTCAGTCTCTCTTCATAAGAAGCAATTACAATCGGAGGACATTTCACATTTGCCTCTTTGGCTAGCACCAAGTCAGCCTCATCTGAATCCTTCCATTTCATGAGAAACATCAATTCTCCACTGCTGTCTGTTGCACCAATGATTCGTTCAGGATCAAGACCTCTGGCAAAGCCTCTTTTCTTCTTAGATTTGCTATCATCAGATTCACTGTCAGATAAAGATTTTTTGTACCATCTTTTCCTTTACCAGCTTTTTGAGAATTAAGAAATGCTTCAATTAACTCTGGACAATCTAAATTTTCTTCAGGTTCCCAAGTATTATCAGTATCTGTAAATCCCTTCCACTTCAGGAAATACTCCACCTTCCCATTCACTACACGTCGATCCAGTACTTTCTCTACCATAAATTCTTCAGGCTCTGCCTCTTCAACGTTTTCACTTTTTCCATTCTGTTTCTTGCCCATTTTTCGCAGTGTAGTTTTATTGGAGGCCATTTTTTTTTTAATTGCAGACTTGAAGAGCCTCGCCTCCACGACCTCCAGGCAAAGTCAAGCCACCGACTTCACTGTCGTGATGCTCCCGGCTCTGGATGATTCATTTTTTATATGTTTGAGTGTTTTGCCTGTATGTATGTAAGTACACCCATGCATGTAATGCCCACAGGGGCCAGAAGAAGGCGTCACATCCCCTGGAACTGGAGTTACAACTGGTCGTTAGCCTCCTTATGGGTCCTGGGAACTAAACCTGGGTCCTCTGCAAGAACAGCCAATGCTCTTAACCACTGAGCCATCTTTCCAGCCCCTAACCCATATCCTTTTGACCCAGCAGACAGGAGCCCTATATTATTCAAACCAATCTGGGCCATTGGCACCCACCTGCATTCCGATGATGGCATAGATGAAGAACAGCATGGCAATGAGAAGGCACACGTAGGGCAGCGCCTGGAGACACATGAGCAAATCAGCTCCAGGGTAACCTGATGCCACACAAACCTCAGCCTGGCCCAGCTCCACCCCATTGACCACTGAGCCCTTCCAACAGCAATTGGCCTTTTGTGACTTGAAGTCATAAAACCCACCTCAGAGTTTTTATAGACATTAACAAGATAACCTACAGGGCGCTCTTTAAAAACTACATTAGATAACAGACGCCAACCAAGAGATGCACATGTTCTACTCTCGTTTGGCCTTCCAGAGTAGGGGCCACTCTGGGTGCAGGTAGTAGAAGCATGTACAAGAGACAGAAAACGCTTGCTTGAAGGGAGTCATCCAGCTCCACTACAGGAACCCTGCTTTACCTTGAAGGACTGGACGAAGGTCCACAGCAGGATGCGGATGGTGTAGCCCTGACGAAGCAGCTTGATGAGCCGTGCTGCTCGGAAGAGACGGAGAAAGCTCAAGTTGATGAAGTTGTTCTGCAAAGAAGAGGATTTTCTCTGACCTTTGGATATTCTCCCCCAAAATGCAGGCAAGCTACTTCCATCCCACAACCCCTCCCCAAGTTCCTGTAACTCCAAAGAAATGTGGTTAAAAGGAAATTACTAGTTTAAGCAGCAGTTGGCCTTTCCTCCCCCGACCCCACCCCCTAAAAATAAAGTTTGTCATGGCAAGTCACTTGTCATGCAACAATTCAGAGAAAACTCCCTGTACACTAGGGCCATTCCCCAACAGTGAGAGACAAAAAGAGAAGCTCTCCAAAGCCACTCCTTACCAGGTAGGGCTGGAAAGAGATCACCTATGAGCCTCTAACATTGGCAACATCTCAAAGAACAGAGCCAAGCTGTCCAGGTGCTGGACCTCTTGAGTAGGCACTCTTGAAGGGAGTCCTCCTGCCTGAGCATGGCAGTCAATCTTCCCTCTGGCTCAATCAGTAAAACCCTGCCTGCGTAGGTCCCTGGCGGGCTTCTCTGGGGCTGTTCCAGGTATTGGCAGATATTCTTGTAACAGGGAGGTATGGTCATTCTGCTGTACTTACCACAGAGCTGCCTGCCCATACCACCCATATTTCACAGGCCTCTGCTCTTAACTCAGGACATCTGGCACTGCTCCCTCAACCAAGGATCCAAAATCAAGCACAAAGATAAATCAATAGACCCTAGACTCCAAAGATTACCTGGGAGAGAGGGTTTCCCTGGCCTAGGCACCCTAAATTATTGGTAAGCCTTTTGGGGGTTATAGATCTGGGGAGGTATCCATGCATAGATAGGAGTACCTGTGGGGCCAGGTGTTTTCTGCATATTTTGACACCAGGTGCCTATACCATCACCTGAGAGCAACCTCCTGACATTTGGCATTTTAAAATACGCAAGCAGCTCAGGCTCACACACATTTGTACTGGCACGATTCAGTTGTCAAATAAAGAGAAAAGAGAATATAGATGTTGAATGAGACAGTAGAGCAGGACAGAGCATGCACACACGGACTGAGCAGATGCTCCAGGGCTGCCCATCCTGGCAGAGCAGGCATTCAGTGGAGGGGCAGGTTTCACGCTTACTTCTATAGTACACTTCTGCAGTGTCTGATGTTCCTACTCTCAAGGACAGATCTTTGGGTTCTCACCACAGTGGCAGGGTTGCTGGATGGTCCATGCGTGTTCAAGGTTTGTACCTTGAGGTCAAACCACCTTGAGGGTGGCTCTGGGAAGGATATTGAAGCCACAGAGGTGGGACTGATTTCAAACAATGTACAGGAGGGTCAGTGGATACAAAGGTGCTCCAAACTATGTCCAAATTAGCAAGGGAGAAAATATTGGCCTCAGAGAAGAGGATACAGCTAAGCCTGTGGATCTCTAACCCACTTAGAATAAGGGGTCTCAGTGACAGACAAAGCCATGCAGATGTGAGTGAGCTGAATCATTATATTCAGTGTCAAAGACCCTTGCCCAAGATGAGGAAGCAGGGAAGTAAGTGCCAGGCTCCCTCGGGGATTCCATTTTGAAAATATCTGCTCATCTGGATATAAGGGATAGGAATTATAACAACACAACACCTGCCCAACTCAAAGTACCCTGCACTGAGGTACCTGGCATAGAAGACTTCCTGAGGATTTAGGGAAAATAAAAGCTCCTTGTAAGAAAGACAGAAGACAACAGAGCAGGTGGGGAGGCATTGTGACAGCTCATCTAGACCACCTAAGGCAGAAATATAAAACTCAGTGATGGTTACCTCTACTTTGTTGACCCAGGCCCATACTCCTCCTCCCAAATTTTTCTCTTGGGGGCTCCATGAGTGCTCAAGAGTGGTATGGGTGGCAATAGATAGGCAGCCCTGGAGAACTATGAGGATAAATAGCAATGACTGCCACAAATGCCCCAAGCACCGAGCGATGAGCTAGACACTACCATGCCAATCACATGCAGGATGGCAAAAAACTGCAAGTATATAGCTGCACATTGTGCACTGTCACCTCTGGCTTGGTCATCCCACTGGTGGTGGACATGCCTAACCTATCTTCCCAGGGCCCATGGTTTCTGCTGCACAGGAAAAACCTCCAGTGACTTTAAGACCAAGATTGTCCTTGCTTCTTCCACTTCACTGAGCCACACGTAGTGTCAGTGTAAGGATGACTAACCTTGAGGGGACAACCATCCCTAACCCTTCGGCCTCCACCTCCTTGTCCGTAACACCAGAGGCATCCATACCCAGGTGATGACAGATAACTGTAAAAAGGATTTAAAAAGTTAACTAAGTATTTTAAGACTCTCCCCAACAAAGGTGATGGGACTGACCCCAGACCATGACTAAGGCCTGGCATTCAAATCCACCATAGCCTCTAGCTAGTCACAGAACAGGGACAACTTGCCACCTGAACGTCCAGCTCAGATCTGTGGATACCTGCTGGTCATGCACCATACCAGGGCACAAAGTCCTGCAGTCCTAAACTGGCAATTCTCTTTCATTTTATTGGGGACAGATTTTAAAAGGGAAAGAGTGGGAGAGATGTACAAATAATTACATATCAAGTGGTCGTGCTATGAAAAAGAGAACAAGGGACAATGAGGTGACACTGCCTGGCGTGCTTGGAGGTCATACAGAAAACATGGCACAAGCATTTTTGCAGTGTCAGTGTCTCCTCAAAATTCACTCTTTATGTTCCAGTTATAAACCTGCATAACAAGCATTCAGTCTCAATAACAGGAATAGCAAATATCTGCTCCTTAAAATGAATTTCCATAGCTGCAGTTGAAGCTGAGTTGCTACCAAACTCTTACTCTCCTCTTAAAATCCCCAAGGACCTGGAAGAGACTTAGTAGTACTTACAGTCCCCAGGAACGTGGTCAAGGCATGCTCACAGATGAGTAATGTGCTGCTGATGGACATGGATAGGGAGCCCTGTACTTGGCTACATTGAGGCAGAGACCCCTCCTACTCAGGCCCTACACAACTCTTACAAATCATGGAATTCCAGTCTCCAACCCCTTCCCTAAGCCTTGTGCCTGAGCCCTGACCCTCTAAGGAAAAGTTTGTCCAAGAAGGATGGATGCTACTGGGGTCTTAACCAGATGCCACTTGGGCAACGTGCAACCCTCTTTGTGTGTTGGCATTATAGAGACACAACAGAAAAGAGATAATGTGCAACAGAAACCATGGCTTCATGGGGATGAGGGTCAAATGCATCCTGCAAAACCTCTAAAGTTGGAAGCAGTCTCAGCAGAAGGATCTATCCTGGACACTTCCTACTATGCTACCCAGAAACCCCTACCTCCAATCAGAGAGGTGCCAGATTCAGCTCCTGGAAGGTCCTCAGAAACCACTACTGGGCCCTGGGATGTTTGAAGACTGTACCAAGAGGCCAGAGGTGAGTAAGTGCAGTTCACTCCTCAGAGAGCAATGGGCAGAAGCCCCAGAAACAAGAGAAGAGGAGCAGAGCAAGCAGAGCAAGGAGGTGTAAGAACTGTAAAGTCATGAAACCAACCGTTTCCTATATGTGATGTTTTCATGGATGGTTATTTGCATATTATTTACAATTTGGGGTGGTTTGAGCAGCAGGTGTGCAACATACAGACGGAGACATGGGTTTTCGCATTGTATGTTGGTTGGATGGCGTGATTCAGCAGGTAGGTTAAGGTAAATCAAGAACAAAAACAGGAAACAAAAGAGAAATGAGTCATCAACACAAGCAAAAACTCAAACTCCAAATTCTTAACTAGAAAATGTAGAGTTTTGTTAAACCACATACTTTTTAAAAGTGCATCCATTCAAAGCGTCTTTATTAAATCTATTGGTTATGCTGGACAGTGATATGTATCCATTTGCATTTTTGTTTGTAATGCAAATCCAAAGATGACTCACAAACATTTAGTTTTTTTATTTCCAGGCAAAGAAATCAATGTCAGTCTTATGCACCCTTGGAGCCCTCTCTCTAGGGACCCTTGTAAAATCTATTAATTTTTAAGTTGGGGATGGGAACTGACACTCATATTTTTGCCTAAGGAAAAAAAGTGCATTTGCAAAGTAAACGCATGAAGTGACTCCAAATGAAAAACAAAAAAACAGAACATGGCCCAATTCACATGACGGCTTTCCTTTCCTCTTTTCTCTTCCAGGCAGAACAGAACTCATGACCTGAGCTCCAAGACCAAGCGGCCAAAATGTATATGAACTTCCAAAATGGGCAACCTCTCAGCCTCCCACCAGTCCTGCTGGACACCAAGGCTTGTGATGCTTCAGGCCAAGCCTGACACAACCACATGCTGCCCTGACTAGTCATCCAGTGGCAGAGAGACAGAATGCCTGGTTATTTTTGCTGCTCCACTGCAGACCTCTGCTTGGAACATATTGCTATAGACCTGTAATGTCAGCCAGTGCCCGGTTCCTGCCTACACCTCTATTTTTTTAATATTTATTATTTTTATTTTATGTGTATGAATGTATTGCCTGTATGTATGTAAGTGCACCCATGTCATGCAATGCCTGCGGATATCAGAAGAGGGCACTGAGTTCCCCTGGAACTGTAGTTATGGATGGTTGTTAGCTGCCACGTGGGTGCTACAAATTGAACCCAGGTCCTCTGCAAGAGCAGTCAGTGCTCTTAACCACTGAGCCCTCTCTCCACCCCCTGTACCCGTATTCTTAGGTCTTTTCAGCAATCAGGAGTCCATGTCTCTCTCTTAAAAAGGAGATGCACACACGCAGAATTCCCCCCACCCCGACACTATCCTTACAACTGGGAGCCTAATGTTTGCATCACTTTATTTGGGTAAATAAAGATTCCTGTTTTCAAGGAGGCAGCACATCTGTATCAGAAAAGGAGTCAGCCTGCTCCTCAGAAACTACATCAGTGTTAATATTCCTAGGTAAGATGCACTGTGATGGGCAGTTACCTTGGCATTTCTATAACACAGGAACCAGCAGAACAAAACCACCTTGCATTTTCTGTTTAAACAGCAAGTTTCAGTTTTTCTGCTTGGAATTATATTACTAGTATTTAAAACCATGAAATATATCATACATACAAACAAATCTATATACATTAATTAGAAAAAAATTTAAATCTCTATATTTACTACTCAGCTTAAAAAGCATAAGCATCACTATCACTTCTGAATTCTTCCTATTTCCCCTGCTGATATCTAAATGTGGCACCCATCTTTAATTTTTGTCAATAATTGTTTGTCCTTACACTTTTATCATAAATTCTTGAGACACACTATGTGCTTGCCTGTTCTTGGCCTTTGCAGTGGTGGCTTGTGCAACCTTTGAGTTGTTCAAACATGGCTCTAACAATGAGCAGTCACCTTCTGAGAAGCATCCATACTGATGTGGCTGCCACCTAGGTATCTGCGCCACTGTTATCACTATGTTAATACCTCCAACAGGTGACATGTTCCACAGCTGATAGGTGCTTAGATATCTCTGCACTGATATAGCAGCCATATGAAGATCTCAGTTGAAGATGTGCATATCACCAACTTTCTAGGTTCTACACATTTTTCCACACAGGCTAGACCAGTTACAACTGTGTAAGAGTTCTAGGTGGCCTATGTCCTTGTCTTACTTGGCTTTAGAATTTCCAGACTAGTTGGTTTAAAATGGCATCTCAATACCATTTCAGTGTGTACTTCTCTGATTACAAATGAGGTCGAGCATCTTTTCCTGTGTGAATTGGCCATTTATGTTTTCTAATTTGTAAAATGCCCAATCGTACCTTCTGCTCGTTTTTTCATTTTCTTACTCTTAGAAGGTCTTTGTTGTTTGGAACCCTCTTCTGCTGGCTATTGCTCATCTCCCTGATCACTACTGAAATGTCCCAGGACTTAGTTGCTCATTCTTTCTTGACCTCATTCTGTCTTAGGGACCTAATACCATTTCATATGCTCACTATTCCAAATTTTATATCACTGGCCTAGTTTTCCACACCAAACTCCAGGTCTGTCTGTCTAACTGCCTACTGGACAACTCCTCTGGGAAGTCTACCAGGAGACTCAAACCTAACATGTCCCACTGAATCCCAAATTTCCACAACAAATCTGTTCCTGGACTACTCATATCATTAACTACATCAACCAGATTCTTTCCCATTTCTATTCAGAGCAACCTATTTTCCCAAATGCTCAAGCAACAAAATTTTATGTCATTTTTGCCTTGTCTTTCACACACACACACACACACACACACACACACACACACACATCTGGTCTATCCACTGCTCTAACTTCATCACTCACAGTCGATTCTCATAGTTCCACAGCCTGGTTCCCAGCAGGAAAGTTCTGCAGCATACACGGCCCACAGACTTCACCTTCTCAGGGCCAGAACCCAGTGTTGGATTCATCTATTCGCAACCCCTATTTCCTAGGGGGTTTCTGAGGCTAGAAGGTGCCAAAAGTTGGATGGTCCCTGATCCCCCCTCCCCAGAAGTCTTCAGCTAGTGATTAACCGTAGTTGATGAAGACTTCAACTTCCTTATCACTTGATAGAATGACAGATATGATCTACACTCACTCAGAGCTCTCTACAAGGTAAACTCTAGTGGCTCACAGTGATAAGCTACTGAGTAACACACCTTCTGTTGGTGGCCACTCTGCCCTCTCTCACTTCACCATTCCCTATCAGGATTCCCAGGATCAATTTCCAAATGAACAATTTGTGCCAAACTATTGTCTAAGATTCTGTTTCTGGGAAAATCCAATGGTGACGATCTGTCTTGCAAACTGACATAAATTTCTGGCACTATTAAAACATCAGTTCCTGAGGTGTTCCATGAGATGATCCCATGTGTCTTACTGTGTTTCTATACAGAACAGAGTGCCAATTCTCGGCCCATGATTCTCTCCATTGATTACCTCACTAACCCTAATCTAATTCACATGGTCTTCATTATCACAGCTTTACAGCAATTCTCACTACCAACAGGGACAGACCACCCCAAGCTACATAGCCACACCTGTCAATCTTCTTGACTACTTCCACCCTTGAGGTTTTCTGTATTTTCTTATACATTTTTAAAGTAGCTTATAAAATTTTGAAGCAAATAAATAAAAACAAAAGCACTGGTATTTTTATTGTGATTTAACTGAATCTGCATGTCAATTTGGAAAAATCAGTAATTCTATGAAACTGACACCAATTAACATGATATGTAACCCCATTTATGTAAGTCTTCTCCACTGTCTTTCAATTAAGCTTAGTAATTTTTCACATAGAGATAGTGCACTCACATTTTGTTACGTTTGTGGCCAGGATGGCTAAGATTGTAATGAAATGCAACTGACATACTTGAGCAATCTTACATTCAGCAACCTTGCTAAACACTTTGATTATTCTAGGGTTTGTCCATAGAAAATAATTTCATCAGGACAAGAACCAGAAGCTAGCAAGTCTGGGACTCTAGAAGTGGGTAGAGGACACAATGATGGCATTAGCTCTGTTAGAACTAACACATCAGAGAGTTCCAGTCCATCTCCCAGGAACCTGGAAGTACTGTCAGAAAATGTATTACACAACCAACATGAGCTGTTGGCAAAGTGAGGCCAGACAAGAGCCTACACTCCAGAATGCTCCTGTGACAATGGCACCAGTGTGTCTCAGCACAACAGCAAAGGCAGCCAAAGCCCACTTTCACCCACACACATGCATTCAGGGCTACCAGGGGCTACAGACTAACCCTGGTGCAGCCCTTAGCCCTGAGCAGTACAGAGGTAAAATCTTGCAGTTTCCTTTTACTGCTACGATATCTCTTGAGAGGGGACCTGCCCCATCTCAAAGGTCCCCTAGAGATGACCCATATCTTTCCCCAGACACGATTATAGCCATTTCCCAGCTAATCTCTGATTTTTCTTCTTAAGAAGTAACTTTTAGGGCTGGAGAGATGGCTCAGTGGTGAAGAACACTATTCTTGGAGAGGATCCAGGTTCGATTCCTAGCACCCAAATGGTGGCTAACAATCATTTATAACTCCAGTTCCAGGGAAATTGGACACTCTCTTCTGATCTCTACAGGCATTGCACGACATGAGTGCACTTACATGTAGGCAATACACTGATACACATAAAAATAAAATATTTTATTATAAAAAGAAGTAACTTTTACATGAATCTTCATTTCAGCAGCTGCTCCTAGAGATGAGATTTTCTATGTTTCCAATTCAATATGTTACACTAAAAAAATGTCGCTTATTATTCTAATCTTTTAAATCTGTTGAGTTTATGCCTCAGCATTGGTCAATTTAATATAGTCCATATGTGTTTGATATGAATACCTCCAAGTAGAGAAACAGATTTAAAAAATATAAATTCTTCCTGGGTTACAAATTCCTTCTGGATTTATGTATTCTTGACACCAAATTCTTAAATATATCCATGAGACACATATAGGTCTTAAGATTAATGTCTTCCTGAGTCGTTACCATGGAGCTCCAGGAGATTCTTAAGCCACCAACCTGAGACCTCTGAGAACTAGTTCCTTATGCCAGAACACTTACACCTAGTCCTCCAACTCCACCTCTGGAGAGTAGCAGCCATCTGTCCTGGAGCTCCTAGGGTCCCAGGAGAAGGTAGACACAGCTGGGACCTGGGGATACACCCACAGGGAACCCTTCTAGAAGAAATTAACTTTGGACCCTGGACAAAGGACAGAAAACGGTACTTACCGCAATCTCTGTTACTAAAATATCAGTAATACTTCCCAACACAGTGACAAAGTCAAAGACATTCCAGGCATCTCTGAAGTAGTTCTAAAGAAAAAGAGAACAGTCAGTGATGGCAGCTGGTAGAGGCTCACCTAAGCAGGGAGCTGCAGGTGGCGGCCACAGATTTAGAGACAAGGGAGATGTTCAATGTTAAGGTCAGTGACCCGCAGATGCCACAGCAAGCATGCAGCTATCTCCAGCCTGGGGAAATGCAGAACTGAGAGCTACAAGTCCAGAAAGGAGAATATGCCTTGCATGACTCCCAGCCTAAGGCAGGGCAGGGCAAAACTTGAACAGCTGAGAGTGTCAAAGCTCTTCCCTAGAACACCCACAGCATCAAAAGTGCTCCAGGGGCTCAGGGAATTCTCAGCTCCAAATAGTGAAGCTCCAAAGGTCATTCAACAGAGGGGACGCCAGAAAATAGGTCACCAAAAAGCAAAGAGAACATCGAGGCACATACCAGCACCCCAAAGGCGATGATCTTCAATATACATTCCATGGAGAACATGGATGTGAACACAATGTTCAGGCATTTCAGCATCAGCTCGTACTCATAGGGTGCATCGTAGAACTGCTCAGAGAAATGAATGCTGATGGCTAAAGATGCACTAGCCCCAACACCCCAAGTGGAACCACTATAACTTCCTATCTACATAGTGGGCAGACAGAGATCCACATCTATCACCCCTCCTTGCTCTTCCCAATTCTTTCAGAACCTTCTCACCATCTCAGCTACAAATAAAAGGGAACAGAATCCCACAGGCGTCATGTGCTGGCCAGGACAGACAGCCACTCAGCTTCAGCATGTGCCAGCAGAAGAGAGACTCTCCCACTGGACCTCAGAATTGAACTTTGACCCAAGTTGTACAGCAATATCCTTCAAATTGAAACATTTCCTCTAGGAGGGATGGGAGAGGCTCTTGAGACTCCAGAAATAAACTTCACATGTCTGAGAAAGTTGAAACTTGAGATACATGAGGGCCCCTTCCATAGGGTTATAGAAACAGTAAACAACTGTTGGAGAAGGAGCTTGACTAGCCAGAGGAGACTCAGATATGCTGAGCTGCCTGCAAGTTATGCAGAGTTCCAAGGTTACAACTTTTATGAGTCATCACCTGTGTTGGGGTAGGCTTTTCAGTGATGCGGCCAGCATTTGGGTTGTCCTTGCTTCTGTAAGTAGCCCTTCATCCATACTCCTGCTACTAGCCCCAGTAAAAATTCATTGTTCACCAAGTTAGACTTTACTTCAGTCTATCATGGGCTTCCCCATCTGAGGTGGGTAGATGTGTGTGTGTTGTGCCTCCCCAGGAAAAAGTCACACAACAACCCCAGCAGGTACATGGTAGTCCCTACATACCTTCATCATCAGCACCACTGTGTTGAGGGCTATCATAGCCATAATGAAGTACTCAAAGGGTGGAGAAACCACAAATGTCCACGTCTTATACTGGAACGACTGCTTGTTTTGAGGCATGTATCGTGTCAGGGGCTTGGCGCTGATTGCAAAGTCAATGCAAGCCCTCTGCAGGGAGAAAAGGGAGTACCACATGAACTCAGAGCATTACCCAGTACAAATGGCACTTTCTCACCATGCCTTTTCAGGAAGCCCAGATAAGAGAAGGCAGTAGAGGTAGTCAAGCCTCCTCCAAGTAGGCTGAACTGACCAACACAGTCTCTGTGTACAAGAAGAGACCCTGCTTATGCTAGCCATGAGCCATACATATTTAGAAGGAAAGTCTGGTAGTCTTGACCATACTGTCCATATCCCAGGAGCCCACACATCTACCTACCTCATTCTTCTCCAGGCTGCATTCAGACATCACCTTGTCTCCCTGCTCCTGGAAGGTGATAATGATCAAGGCCACAAAGATGTTGACAAAGAAAAAAGGGAAGACCACAAAGTAGACCACATAGAAGATGGAAAGCTCCATGCGGAACCCAGGGCTTGGTCCCTGCTCCTCATAGGTGGCATCCACAGAGTGTTTCAGCACCCTAGACAAGGGAAGAGCAGACTTCAGGAGAGCTTCAAAGGGAGCTTGGGTCTGTACGTCAGGGATCGGGCTCATATCTGCATATAAGAAATGGAACTTGGGGTTGGGGATTTAGCTCAGTGGTAGAGCATTTACCTAGCAAGCACAAGGCCCTGGGTTCAGTCCTCAGCTCCAGAAAAAAAAAAAAGGAACTCATCTCTTCCTTCTCTGCTCTGGGAGCAGCTCTCCTGCCTTGACTCCTGAAAATGAATGCCTGTTCCAAGTTTATCTCTACCTGTTCCTTGATCAGGAGTATCTCTCAGCTACTGAGTTGACTTCTATCTACAGTTGTGTTAAACTGACTAGAGACATTGGCAGCTGAAAGCCTCTGCAGCTTGGCAGTCCCATGACCCCTGACCTCACTCGTCCCTAGCCACAGCTTCCAAACCAGCACCATTTAGAGGGACATTGACACAGGAGCCAAGTTCATTGGGTCTGGGGCTGCCACAACTGGGGTGGCTGGCTCTGGGGCTGGGAGTGGAAATGTGTTTGGGAGTCTCATCATTGTTTATGCCAGGATGTTTATCATTGAAGCAACAGCTCTTCTCCTATGCAACTCTGGGCTTTGCCCTCTTGGAGGCTATCCACGGAACTCTTTTGCCTAACTGTGGCCTTTCTCATCTTCTTTGCCATGTGAAACAGTTGTCACCATCTCCCATATTTCTGTCTCCCATGTCTCATCGGCCCTGTATGTTCCTTTTCCTGTACCTCCCCAGGAAGTCTGGGGAAAGTGGTTGGCTCAGGGTTTGACAGAAAGATGATTAACTGGGGAAAGTGGTTGGCTCAGGATTTGACAGAAAGATGATTAATATTGTATTAAGGAAAAAAAATACTTAAGCCTGCACTTCAAAGACAGGTTCTGGTTTATACCTCAGGGTTGGCGTTAGGTCTGTACCTCAGGAACAAGGCACAAGTAGGCACCTCAAGAGCAGGACTTTTCTCTACACCTCCGGGACAGGGCTCAGGACTGAACCTCAGGGACAGGGCTCAGGTCTATATCTCAGGGACAGGGCTCAGGACCGCAACTCAGGGACAGGGCTCAGGCCTATATCTCAAGGATAGAGCTTAGGTTTGCATCTCAGAACAGGGTCAAGACTGCACCTCAGGGACAGAGTTCACATCTGTACCTCAAGAACAGGGCTGTCTGTACTTCAAGAATGGAGCTCATGTCTATACCTCAGGGACAGAACTCACATCTGCACATTAGGGACAGTGATCAAGTCCATACCTCAGATGAGGCTCATATCTCTATCTTAGGAATTGAACTCAGTTCTGCCCTCGAGAAACAGGGCTCTTGTTTGTACCACACCTGACCTCATTACAGGGTTAGAAGCAGATCAACCTAACAAACTCTGTCTAAATTCCCCATTTTGCCTAACTAGCTACAATGATCAGCTACGCAACTCACATGGGCCATCCCTCTCCAGTGGACACAGTGAATAGGGTCAACAGAGCCCAGAGCACATTGTCATAATGGAAGTCATATTTCTTCCACTGCCTTGGTTGAGCTTCTACTTCCTCCTTCTCATAATCCAAATACTGACCCCTGGAAATAGGAGCATAGGAGATGATAGAGATTAAATCAGTTCAAATATAACCATGTATCAACAGTCAAGTAGTTTCTGAAAATATATCAAGGCCATTCCAGGTGGAAAGAGCAGGCTTCTCAATCATAGTGGTAAGACAAGTGCATTTGCAACCATTCTAGATGCAAAACTACTACCTGCCATACTGGATATAAGAAAATGGATCAAAACGTAAATGTAGTTACTAAATCTATAAAAATCTTTGAAGAAAATACAGTGGCAAATCTGTAAGACTTTGTATTTGGGAATGGATTCTTAGATACATTACCAAAATCATGGGCAACAAAAAGAAACAAAAAAAGGTAAACTGGGCTTCATCAAAATTTATTATTATTATATTATTATTATTATTATTATTATTATTATTATTTTGAGACAGGTCTCCCTGCTGGCCTGGAATTCACCATGTAGACCAGGCTGGCCTCAGTCTCACAGAGATCCATTTGCCTCTGGCTCCTGAGTACTGGGATTAAAGGTGTAGGCCACCACTATGGCTAGTTAAAATTTAAAACTTTTGTGTCTTAAAAACACCATCATGGGACTGGCAAAGTGGCTCAGCAGTTAAGAGCACTTACTGCTCTTCCAAAAGACCAGAGTTCAATTTCCAGAACCCATGTCAGGCAGCTCACAACATGCAGCTCACAACTGCCTGTAACTCCAGCTCCAGGGGATCTGACACCCTCTTCTGGCCTCTGTGAGCACCCTCAAACATGTGGCATACTGAAAATAGACATATATAAATAAAAAATAAATATTTCTTTAAAAAAGAAACTATTAAAAAAAAGTAAGAGAGGGTAGGTGAGATGGCTTAGCAGGTAAAAGTACACCCGGGCAAGTATAACCACCTGAGTTCAAACCCCATGATACACATGGTACGAGAGACCCCTCTTCCACGAGTTGTCATAGGACCTCCACAAATGTACCATGGCATGCAACCCCCTTCTCAAAATAAACGTAGTAAGTAATTTTTTTTCAAAAAGTAAGATATGGCTGGGTATGGCAGCGCATGTCTCTAATCTCAGCATTCAGGAAGCTGAGGCAAGAGGATCAGGAGTTCTAGGCCAGATCCTGTCTCAAGGGAAAAAAAAGTGAAAAGATGACCCACAGAATGGGAGAAATGATCTAAGTATCTTCTGTTAGCCAAAGAATTTGATTTTAGAACATGTAAAATGCTGTTAAAATTAATACAAAATAAGGCCAGGCATGATGGCGCACGCCTTTAATTCCAGCACTTGGGAGACAGAGGCAGGCGGATCTCTGTGAGCTCAAGGCCAGCCTGGTCTACATAGTATGCTCCAGGCCAGCTAGAGTTACAGAGAGAACTGTCTCAAAAAAGACAAAAAAAATTAATACAAAATATTCATTTAGGGGGTTCTGAAGTTATATAATTTAAATTTTTATCTTTGAGAATTTCATAAATGAGGATTATCTTTGCATTATTTCTATCCTTCCCAATCTTCCACCAATTATTCCTATGTCACCCTACTACCTCTCAATTTCTTGTCCTCTTCTTTGATTACTATTGTTACATATACATACATACATTTACAAATATGCATAAATACACATATATCAAAATGCACTGAGTCCATTAAGTGGTGCTCGTGTGTACCAGTGGTTAGGGTTGTCCATTTGGGATCAGACAACCTCTCAGGGAGCTAGTCCCTGGAGAAAACTGTTTCTCCCTCCCTCAGCAGCCATACAAAATATCAATTTTAAAATTAGGTCAAACAGCCGGGCATGGTGGTGCACGCCTTTAATCCCAGCACTCAGGAGGCAGAGGCAGGCAGATCTCTGTGAGTTCAAGGCCAGCCTGGTCTACAAAGTGAGTTCCAGGACAGCTGGGGCTACAGAGAGACCCTGTCTCAAAAAGACCAAAAATAAAATATAAAATAAAATAAAATAAAATTAGGTCAAACAGAACCAGACAAGGATGTCCACTATCTCCACTCCTTTTCAATATACTGCTTGAAAGTCTGGCTAGAGCAATAAGACAAGAGAAGGAAATTAAAGGAGTACTAATTGGAAAAGAAGAGGTCAAATTATCCCTTTTTTCAGATGGTATGATACTATACCTAAGAGATCCCAAAAATTCCATCAGAAAACTCCTAGAACTGATCAACACTTTCAATAAAGTGGCAGCTTAGAAAATTAATCTACAAAAATTAGTAGCCTTTCCATATACCAATAATAAGCAATCAAAGAAAGAGTACAGGAAAACCCTCCCATTCAAAATAACCTCAAAAACAAATAAAATATTTTGGAATAAACCTGACCAAAGACATCAACGATCTCTACAGTGAAAATTTTAAATCTTTAAAGAAAGAGATTGAGAAGACACCAGAAGACGGAAGGACCTCTCATGGATTGTAAGAATTAATATTGTGAAAATGACTAGTCTACCAAAAGCAATATATAGATTCAATGCAATCCCAATAAAAATCCCCAGGACATAGTTCACAGAATCAGAAAAAAAAAATCCTTAAATCAAATGGAAGCACAAAAGACCCTAGACAGCCAAAGCAACTCTGAGCACAAAAAGCAACGCTGGGGGAGATTACTATACAAGATCTCAAACTACACTACAGAGCTATAGTCATAAAAACAGCATGGTGGGGCTGGAAAGATGGCTCAGTGGTTAAGAGCACTGACTGCTCTTGCAGAGGACCTGGGTTTGATTCCCAGCACCCACGTGGTGGCTACAAACCGTCCTTAACTCCAGTTCCAGGGGAATCCAAAACCCTCTTCTGACCTCCACAGCATTGCACGACCCGGGTGCAGGCAATACACTCATACGCATAAAATAAATAAATAAAATAAAACATAAACATTTTTTAAAAAACACCATGGTATTGGCACAAAAATAGATACTTAGATCCATGGAACATAATTGAAGACCGAAACACAAATACATGTAATTTCAGCCACCTGATATTTGACAAAGGTGCCAAGAACACACAATGGAGGAAAGGCAGCATCTTCAACAAATGGTGCTGGCAAAACTGGATCTCCACCTGCAGAAGAATAAAACTATATCCTTATCTTTCACCTTGTACAAAAGTCAACTCCAAATGGATCAAAGACCTCAATGTAAAACTGGAAACCCCGAAACTATTGGAAGAAAACATTGGCAGTCACTGACAAGATATAGGTGTAGGAAATGACTTCTTAATTCGGACACCAGTTGCTCAGTAATTAAGGTCAACAATCAACAAGTGGGACCTTATTAAACTAAGAGGCTTCTGTATAGCAAAAGAAACACTCAAAGAAAGTGAAGAAAAAACCCACAGAGTGGGAAAAATTCTTCACCCGTGACACATCTGACAGAGGTTTAACATCCAGAATATATAAAGAACTCAAAAAACAACTAAGAAAACAAATGACCCAATTAAAAGATGGGCTAAAGATCTAAACAGAGAGTTCTTGAAGAAATAAGGATGGCTAAGAAACATCTTAAAAAGTGTTCAACATCGTTAGTAATTAGGGAAATGCAAATTAAAACCACTTTAAGATTCCACTTTCCCCAGTCAAACTGGCTAAGATCAAGAGAACAAATGATACCAAATG